GACAGAGCGACTCCGTGAGACTAGAGGGCTCCTGACTTTCATCAGGCTTGTGTCAGCCCCTACAGCCATCTCCAGAAGACAATAAATGCCAAGGTCCAGCTCTTAAAATTAGAGGTCACTTAGATACTTAATGATGAAGCATATCCTCAAATATATATCTATTATTATTATCTTAGCAAAAAATTAATTAACCAGGTCATACAGGCCATGAAGGCTAATGTACAAAGTAATTATTTCTGATCCTTAGACAACTACTACGCATAAAAAGGTAGTCCTTATTCTGCTCAGCAGATACCTGAAATGCCTATAGTTAATCATACTGAAGGAAAAAAAAGGCAAGGTTTATCTCCTTATAAGGTGAGAGTAGGTCTCAAATTATTCTCTTTAATGGTTTAAGAACAATCATCTCCTTTTTTATATTAGCCTCTCTCCTGGTTAGCAGACAGGAGGAAGAAGAATGCATATCGAATGTTGCTCTATCCCATGACAGACACACAGAGACACACAAAATTTATGAAAAGCACACAGGAATATATTATAGCCAAAATAGAAAATACTGTGTATGAAAAATACTCGTATACTCTCAAGAGCAAAATGAAGCTTCAGGGAGGAGAAAAACACTTGTAAATAAGCAGCCTGTAATACAGCATTTAAAGTAGAAAGCTTTCAGATGAGATAGAGTATGTGGAAAGCAGCAGCAATGGCATTTGCCATCTAATGGAGTTTGCCATCTAATGCATGTATGAAATGATGAAGAAAGGAATATTGCACATTCATCACAAAGAGTAAAATTCATAAAGATTAACAAAAAGATAAGAATTTCAAGTTTCACAATTATACTAAAAAAGGCATGTGTGGATGAATTCACTAAATCGTTGGATCTGACCCAGAAAGCCAAATGCCCCAATAATCCCCCAACCAGCCAGCCCAGTGTTAGAAGACCAGTGTGGTTCCATCAGTGATGTGATACACTGCCCGCATAGCACACAATATAAACCACTTGGACATCTCTAAGATTGGGGTTTGAAGAGACATGAATAGGGAGAAAACACTGTTCATGTCTGGAAAAGTAAGTTTCTCACTGAGATATCTTCTTCCAAAGATTAAGCTTTAGCAACAAAATGTCAATATTAAATATGTTCCTGGTAATGTGCTATTGAAACCAAAGAATGTGGTACATTGCATCCATGAAGACTATCTTCTCTAGATTCAAGAACCATGACATGGGCAGCTGAGGTTGGATACATAAATTAACAGATGGATCAAGAAAGCAGGATTTATAAAGTATTTTCTCCTTTGCTTAGACTAGCCTTCTATTTAGTAGTTGATTAAAATACTGTACATATACTTTGATATGTCCAATAGATTAAAAGTGAGTTTTGTTGACTGGTCAACATAACTCATAAATAAAATGCTTCAAAAGACTGGCTAAGACACTTGAATGCAATGGTGGAGAGCAAGGAAGATGATATGACCAAAGCAGTTACCTGTCTTTTGGAATTAAAGCACAGGAACCGACATTCCCAATTCCAGGGACCCATGTTCCATCATCCATTATTTTGGCTTTCCGTAGACTTGATGAAACTGCTATTTCTGTCCAGGAAATATCAAAAATGTCTAACTTTTTCTGGGCTCTATATCGGGGGAATTACTTAATATGAAACAAATTAGAGGAATCACCATTTTCCCCAAAGCACAAACAGAGGGATTTGAATTCACTAAGGAAACAGGCTCCTAAAAGATCTGTTAATATTAAAACATTTTAATTATCATTTCAAGTTATTACACTGATTTTTTAATGGCAAAAATCGACTCATCAAAAATATAAAAACATTGGTTCACAAAACTCATTCATCTTACTTTCTCAACATGGCTTACATAGTGCCTCTTTCACAATTTAGTTAGAATTTACTAAGACAAAATTATGTCAAAAATTGTATTTAAGGAAGAAAAATATATAAATGAAATGGTTTTTAACTACACATTTAAGTTTTGGATGGTTTCACATAATAAAGACATGGGACTTCTACAATACTGTCTTCATCATGCCTCTTCCTACCTCTAAGGAAAAATCCTGCTTTTCACTCTTTGGAAACCATTCCGGTTTTCATTTGTTTTGATTATAATAGGCCCAGATGTGTTGATCTGTGGTTATTACAAGAGGTTAGACACTCCTCCCTTCCTTTATATTACAGCTTGAAAATTCCGAAACAGCAAGACTAATTCACAAGTCGGCATTCTGAACTAGAAGTAGAGTGCAATCTTGAATGTAACCCCCGATCCATAACCAATTGCAGCTCTCCATAGCCAATTGCCATGGCTTACTCTTGCTGACCATGTTAGCTAACAGGTTCTAGCACTCAAGACTTAAAAAGAAGAAAGAAGTTCAAACTTGGCTCAAATTGTCTCTGTATACATTCGCTTTCAGAAGAAGGTTTTGCACTCACCTTATTTTTACTCTTTATTCTGGTTTGTTTTCAAATGGGACAATGTGTCTTTCATGATAGAAAGTGTTGGAAGCATCTCTTAAATCTCATATTTTGCTCAAAAAGTATACTAAAATTAGCCCAATAATAATCTCTTCTAAATTTGATCATGACGATAGCTTGTCAAAACCGTATTTGAAAATACAGTTAACCCATTCCCCTTGCAGAAAAAAAAATAAATAACTAAAAGTCTGAATATCAAATACCTGTTTCATAAGTGTCAGAGATGAATATGTTTTGTGTAAGGAGTGTTTTTCAGCATTTGAAAAATTCTTTGAATGGTCTATACTGATAAGATAAACACTGAAAAGATATGAAATAACACAGTAGCTCAGGACAGAATGAACTATAAATACAGGTTATTGCTTCCTGTTATTTTTTAAAATATGAATTCTTATTATGAAGATTCCTACATATCTACAATGAATGCAACTCTGATACTTTGAATCTCTCTGATTTTACAATTTGTACAGCTGAGATCAAGTGCTGATTATCTTCAATTTTTAAAAATTTAAACAATAATATCCACAGTTTTAAAAGCAATTAAACTTCTATTAAAAAGCTTGAAAAAACAATTTCCCATATTCTCAAATTGAACATTCTAATAAATAATATTTTAACATCATACTCTATAGTTTCTTGAAAAAAGGCACCAATTTCACATAGTAAAGTTGTACTATAAAATCCTATGCAATCAGTAAATACTAATAATATTTCATAAAAATTGCCCTGAACTGATTAGGTCGCTATTCATCTGACATCCTCTGTACCAAAAAGCAAACATCAATTAAGACAGCCACTTCATATAAACAACAGTGGACGAAGAAGTGAAATACATTCAAAATAAATAAAGAAATAAATATAAAGATATAGTAAAAACATTAACAATAAGTAACTGATAAATCAGGGAACATCTCAGGAAAGTTCTTTCATTCCTGCTTTAAAATAGGAGAAAGAGAGAGAACTAAATGATCAGGTTATTTAACACCTACTGAGTTCTTAGAGAGGAATCTAGAGAAAAATGTAGGAAACCACAGGCTAAAAATCTTGACCTTAGCAGTAGGTGACACACTGAAAATTCTAATAAGGGCAGAACCAAGGAACACCTGGACAGTTATTTAATTAGGAATCACAGCATGAGTCATAAAAGAGATATCAGGATGAGAAATTATCCCAAGATTTAATTGTAAAAGCTGACTGTCAAAAATGCCTGAGACATTCCATCTCTCCCTTATTTGGACTCTTTATTTTGAAACATACACACTTACGTAGGGAAGACAGAATCAGAATGGATTAAATAGCAACAATGAAGACACTGGCTAAAACCTTTGGGTAAAGATAACTGGACAAAATGCCAAATGAGGTCCAGGGACTTACTCAAGCACCAAGCTGGGGTACTTTAAATGGAACACCAAGTATAACTAACAAATGAAGCAAGGCTCTATGTTAAAATCACTGGCTTTCACCAATGAAAGAGTAGAAGAGTAAACTATGACTTCATGCGATTGATTTTTTTTAAACATACAGGAAGGTGTAATATTAAACTCAAGCAAAGGAATGCCATAATTCATAATATACCACCCCAACTGGACTGCAACACAGATTGCAGAGGTTAGAAAACATCCACAGTAACCAAGAGAAAGCACTGAGGTTGTGGCAGGTAGATAGAAGTCTGGAATGAGTATTCCTCAGGATTAACCTCCGGACAACCAGGTCTGTATTCTACGGTTTTCTAGAAGTCACATACCCATGTTCCTTTTCAAAAAATGGAGGTCTCTTCCCTTACCTATCTCAGATAGGTATTAGTTACATTAACCATCAAGTATCTAAAGGAACATCAGAAATCAGAATTCCTTCCCAGGCCATTGAAATCATGATCTATGTACCATATCATACTGCCACAACAAAAAAAGGGATTTTTAAAATTGTGTTAAAATTATTTGGGAACAAGTCTTTCTTCCTTCCTAGACTATAAGCTCCTTGAAGACACATAATTATTCATTGATCTTTCTATTCCCCTCAGCATCCAGCAAAAATGCAGTGAATATTTATTAAAGGCCAAATTAATTGTTATGATCTCTTCCCAGGTTTTAAGACTTGTCTCATAATTGACCCAATCAGACAGTCCTAACAAGGAAATAAGCGTCAGCTTCTCCCTGTGATGCCATTAGATGGTAAAATACAAAACAGAAAATGGTTTATGGCAATAAAAACAGCAAGTGTGTGCTACCTTTGAAACCATTTAGATTTCTACTGGGTGAGGGTTGGGCAAATGGCAACAGGAAAAAGAGATAAGTTTTATTCTGTGTACACCTCACATCCGAAAAGAATGCTTAGACCACCATGTGATCGTGATGGATGTTTCTTACATCCATGTATACAACTGTACATCGTTGAGTAACGGCCCTGTTGGTACTGTTGACAAGAGAGGGGTGCGTTTGCCACATTTTCATTCCATTTGCAAGGAGGAAAGTATCTAAGTACCATCAGCCGAGAGTAATAAAATACACTGACCTGGATCTGTTGCTGCAGGAGATTAATTTTGTGCTGCTGCTGCAGAAGTTGCTGCTGTTGTCTTGCAATCTATCAGAAATAAAGTTTCGTTAAGTTCAAATGAAATGCTTGCACCTTTGCCATTACCCCAGGTATCTCTCTTGGAATGACAAGAATGCTTTACTGCACTTCTGTGTGAAAGAGTTCCTATAAAATGAGAGAGGCAGACTTAGTAAGCTGGAGAAAATGAAAAATTTCAAACAGGTGCCACTTCTCTGCTTACCCCCTAAATCTTTCTCTGTAGGTGAACAGTGCCCTTGTATGACACTTGGGAGCAGTTCATCCATATCTGCACTGGTCATCTGGAAAGAGTGGGAATGTCGAAATCTGATCTTTGGAGAATAAAGACAGGAAAACTCTGGCTACATTTTTCTCAAGAGCTTGATTTGGATGTAAAAAGTAAAATCTGTAAGCAAAGCCAGGAAAGAATTTTCTATTCCTTGCGGTCTACTTTGGTGCAACCTTTTCTGAAGGAAAGATTTCCAGAACTGATACAACTTACAAATATTGTCAAGGGAGTGCCAAAAAAGCAGCAAAAATTCAGAAATCTTTTTGTTGTTGTTGTGGATGTTACATGTACAAAGCACTTCTTAAAAACAAAATTTAATATTTATCCTTTTGAGGGGAACGTGTTTATTTTAAAGTTCAGGATCCACATAAAAGTTTTACATTTCCTTCCTTCATCCAACAATCAAATCCAACATGTGAACGTGTCATCTGGTCTCTAGAAGAAATATTAGCCACTTAATGCAAGCCCTGCTGAGGACTGAGTCTGCCCCTCAGAAGAGCAAGCAACTTCTTCGGCATAATTGTATTTACTATAAAACATGAGCTAGGCATGAGGCTGTCTACTGCCTCAAAAGCTGGAGCCCCGAGGTTGGGATGGAGTGGGGGGGAGGGACGCGCTCAACCTACTCACTGCCCACACAGGAAGCCAGTTGGAAAAGTGGCCAGAGACTACTTAGAAGGACTTGGTTTTGTAGTGCTCTAAAGGCAAGAGTTATGGTTTTTTCCTTCCTATTTCTTCTATTTCCAAAAGCCTATATTCTAGAATGGGCAACCTTGGAATTGGAAATGAATATGGATCAGCCCTCAGCAGTATATTTCTTGAGTCTTTTTGATGCTTCAGCCCAGAGCAGAGGGAAACACCCAAATCACATTTCACCCAGCCCAAGATAACAAAACATAGCTGTCTACTCCCAGATGTTGCTTTGTGGTTTCTGGTGATGACTAGCTCATACTGGAACTCATGATAGAGCTGCGGCTATCACAGGCTAGAGTTTGAGGGATGAGACCACACCTTCTCAAAGCTTCTTAAGCAAAATGGAAACTGTGTCTAATCAGATTGGAAAGGCCCAGTCTGCTTGTCACCATTCAAATCAGAAACGGACAACTCGGCAACTCTAGGTATAGATGCTGGATCCTCTGAATATTTATTTCCTCTTAGCAAACCAGTGAAACACTACTAGGCATCTAATACTGATGGTCCCTCCTAAATGATAAAGTGCTGCATAGAAATGCATCCAAAACACCACAGTGCAATTACTATCATCCACTCTAGACGTATGGCTTTGACACAGTGAAGTATGGTACATAAGCACCATGTGGCTCAAATTCTGAATTTTATTTGCCAATCGGTTGAGCTACATGCTCGCTTCATTGAGCATGACAACCTAGTTTTAAGTGTCATTTAATTTTCATTTTGAAATATAATTACAAAGTGTTCACTGTAAGATATCACTCGTCTGCAAATGTGTCAAGATTAATTTGTGCTAGCTTATTCACAAGTGTCAATAGTTAATTACTGTGTCATCTCTGGATGGCTAAATGACATTCTAACTTCTGATTTTTTACAGTGTTCCTTTATGTTATTTTCCATTAGGGGCTGAGTCCATATTCCTACATGTGGGCAAATATTCAAGCATATAAAATACCAGACGTCACAACTCATTAAAATCAACAGAGCATATATTGCTCTATATACCCCTATAAAATACATTTAACTGAAAAGATAATTCCAGTAATAATGTCAGATTCCTAAAAACTGCACATTAATTTGGGTCTGTCTGATCTAAAGCATCAGGGACTACTCTATAGGATCATTGTTGTTAGATTAATGTACTCTTGTGAGACAGGAAAAACATTTGGGAAAGTGATATATTTTTTAAAAGATATATATTTAAACTTTGCTTTTTCTTCTTCCTTCTCAAATCTAAATCAGTGAAATCAAATTCTTGGAGGAGCCATGTGCTGATTTGTTTTCAATGATTTACCTATGCTATAAATAGAGTGACCATATAATTTATATAATTTATCATTCAAACCAGGACAACTTTTGCAAGTGGAATAGGGGGTTATTAATAATCACTCTGGAAAACAGGCATTAGCCAGGGCTATTCTGGAAAAACTGAGACCTACGTCTACCCCAGCTTTATAGTCAGAGAATATCACGGGACCAGTAAGCTTAAAGATCCTCAAAGATTTTCTAGACCAGGACCCTCCTTTTCTGGATGAGAAGAGTAAGGCCTGGAGAGAAGCAACTCACTCTTGGTTAAGCTTGGAATTACTCTTGGTTAACACGAGGAATATGTATGATGCCCACGTGAGTAAGTCCCTAAGTAATTAATCAAATCCAAATGTTCTGGAACCATGTTCTCACTTCAGTTACGCCCGGTTGCTATGATGCCTTTCTTTGTCCTTCACATACCATCTCAGTATTCTTGAAGACCCTGGATTTTATTTTTAGAAGGCTTCTTCCTTTCTTTCCTTTTTTTTTTTTTTTTTTTTAGGAATGCTTATGACAAATAAGCCAATCAATGTGATTACTCGCTGAGCTTGGCACATTCCGCATCTCCAGTTCATCAGCTCCTTTTGCAGGGCTCACCTGTTCTTGCTGTTGGCGAGCAAGGTCCATTTGCTGCCGTTGTTTCTCAATTTGCGAGGCTGCCAGTTTCTTTTGTTCGTCATGCGCTGCCAGGAGCTGCTCCCGTAAACTGATCAGCTGCGTAATCATAGTAGAGAGCTGCCGTTCTTTTTCTGCCAGGCTCTCGGGTGTACCTGAAATGGAAGTGAGAAGATAGCTCACAAGTTTGAGAAAAGCCTGAATGAATTGGGGAAAGGGGGAGGGCAGATTCAGAAAGGGACTACCCGAAGGCACTTAATGATCCGGGACAGTAACTGGAGGTTACTGTGAGTATAGGGGCGCTACAGAATATGGATAGAATGAACACAAGTTAGTCATCGCCCCTGCCAAGAAAAAGTATGATCACAATAAAATTCTCACTCTTCCCTCTTGCTCTCTAAACCAAAACAAACAAAAAGCAGAATTACCCCCATCCTCACCCTTTTATCGTATTCCTCCTCCTCCCCCCTTACCCCTACCAAATCTATCTGATCAAGCTAAGGAAACCTATGATATTTAACACCAAAGATTGGAGAGTATAGGTTCTGTTAATATTCTATAATATTAGTTATCTCTACAACTCAGTGACTAACACAGGATCGAGACCTAGTAGGTGCTTAATAAGTGTTATTTAAGGAATTTTCCAATCATTGCTCTCATAAAACTTTTCTGTTGTGTAAGGACCTGTCTCTGAAGTCAGAAGCTATTCTCTTGGCCATGGAATGAGTTCTACAGAGAGAGGGGAAAACAAAAACAAAACAAAAAAAAACAAAACTTCCTTGCCTCAGGTAAGAAAGGATTGAATCTGATTTTTCCCCCTTGTGAGGGGATCAAGCTAAAGTTCTCAAGTTCATCCTTAAAGGCAACAATGTTGCTTAGGGAGCTCATTCATCCTTTTGTCATTTGTCATTCTTCAAAGGGAAAAAAACACGTGTGAGGTTGAAAAGGTTATGCATAAGGATGTGCTGTTTAATGAATACGGTGTCGCTGAACACTTATGGTATGCACTAATGGTGCTGAACAGTCTTTTTATGGGCAAATTGCACAGCTCTCCTAAGTAAAGGGTACAGAATCCTTTTGTGAATCTAAATTAGAGTATTTACCACAGCATAAGATAAGAATTTCAACCCACTGTATTTGAGCCACACAGGTTTCATTATGAAGAAATGATCTATGATTTGAAAGCTTTTCAGAAAGATGCCACCAGCTGTCAAAGGGGACAAAGATTGCCGATGTGTGTGTGTGTGTGTGTGTGTGTGTGTGTGTAAGAGGAGACTTCCAAACGCCTTATGAAATCCCCCTCATTCCTGCTAAGAAAGCACCGGGACAGTTTGAGAAACTAACACTATTTCAATTAGCAGTGGTCCTATTTTCCAAGTGCCCCCATGGACAAAGGGAGCCTTCAGAGGATGTCGGTGAGTCCTTGCTAGTATATGATTCCCAGAAGGTAAAACTGATATCAGCAGAGAAGTTATGGCACTTAAGGACTACCTTGGGGTTTGTAATGCCAATTCAAGTCCTTAAAAAATAAAGAAACAAACAAACAGCCAATACCCCAGGTCCTTAAAGATTCACTGAATTGAAAGATGGCCTAAACTCAAAATTAGAAGAAAAATTAGATAGTGAGATGATGTTAGAAAATGGGTTCTACTGACAAAGGCACAAATACTGTATTCAGCTATTCTTTCCAGATACTGGAACTGATTATTTTTTTTTAAGATTTTATCTATTTATTTGACAGAGATCACAAGTAGGAAGAGAGGCAGGTAGAGAGAGAGAGAGAGAGAGAGAGAGAGAGAGAGAGAGAGAGAAGCAGGTTTCCTGCTGAGCAGAGAGCCCGATGCGGGGCTCGATCCCAGGATCCTGGGACCAGAGCCAAAGGCAGAGGCTTTAACCCACTGAGCCACCCAGGTGACCCTGGAATTGATTATTTTTAATGAGTTTTTATTTCAGCAATAAGGATTTCAGCTTGGTAAAAAAGAACTTCTTGATCGAAATATTAAAACACAAAAGCAGGTTCCCAGAAGGAATCATAAAATTTCTTCAAAATTGCAACAAGCTCAATTAATTCATGTGTTTATATCTATCTATCTATCTATATATATATAGACACACAAATGTATATATATATGAATGAGAAAATACAAAATAAATATGAAATGTATTTATTTACTCATTTTATTCATTTCTCATTGAAAAAAAAATACTTCCTGAGTCGCAGCTATGTGTCAGGTACTATATAGAACTAAGGATACTGACACCATGGCAAGAAAAAGCAGACAGAATTCCCTACTCTCATGCACTTTGTAGTTCTAAAGTAGGGAGACAGCTTAAACAAGAAATTATACATTTAAATGTAAACTATAACTTTAAAAGTATGACAAAATGATAGGTATTTGGGGGAATGTTTAAACAAGTTTGGGAGGCCCAAGTGTAAGAAAGATAGAATGAAAAAGTAACAAATTAACAGTAGGATGAATAAAAGTAACTAGTCAAAGAGTTGGAGGGTGGTCAAGAAGCTTTACAGCAGAAACAAAATAGGAAAAAGCCCTGACACGGTGGGGGAGAGTTCCAGTGTGTTCCAGAAGTTGAAAGAAGATAGCAAAATTTGAGCAAGTAAAATTAAAGCAAGGAGTAGAGTACCGGACAAAGTAGGAAAAGTTCACACCATTCAGGCCCTAATTACCATGCTTGATAAACTTCATATTTATTCCAAGAGTATTTCAAAATCACTACAGTATTTTATTTTTTTTAAAAGATTTTATTTACTTTTTTGACAGACAGAGATCACAGGTAGGCAGAGAGGCAGGCAGAGAGAGAGGAAGGGAAGCAGGCTCCCTGCTGAGCAGAGAGCCCAATGCGAGGCTCAATCCCAGGATCCCGGGATCATGACCTGAGCCCAAGGCAGAGGCTTTAACCCACTGAGCTACCCAGGCACCCCTCACTACAGTGTTTTAGATAAGGGATGAATGATGTGGTCAATCTAGCTATGGTATGGGAAATAGTTTGGAAAATTGTAAGAATAGATCATTAAGATATACACACACATTTTATTACATATATTTTTGGCAATATTCTGATCTACCTGTAATTTTCTTTCTATGCCTATCTATATGCAGTGATTTAAGAGAAGGGTTAGTAGACTCTGGGAAAGTCACTGTACTACAATTCTTTGTTAATAAAGAAGAGCATTTATAGGAAACTTTGGGCAAGAACCAATACAAGGGCAGGATTCAGCACCTAGATTCCCCAAAACACTGGAAGTTTTCCTCTTCTCCCAAGTTAAACAATGTTGTTTTAACAATCTTCAATATAGTCCCATTTTCCTCTATGCAGGAAACAGAGAAGCTGAGGATAACATATGTCTCCTTAGCTTCTTCTGCTCAAGGTGAAGCCAACAGGTCTATAAATGCACTGGTGTTTCCAATGCTAAAGACATGTATACCTGCACTTACAGAATACCACCACTGAACTGAAGCTTTTTACAAATCATTAATGATATTCAAGCTGGATGATGTAAAAATTCAGTGACATCTAAATAAACTTTTCAAAAAAGCCAGAGAGCAATATTTTTAAGTGGAAATTTTAGGCATTCATATGAGACTGTCACTCTCTTTTCCTTAATTTGAGGAGCACATATATATTTTTTGAATAGATATGAGTGGCATAATGAATGCAGTTGGAATGAAATATAGTAGCAAAACAAGTCTCAAATTCCCCCCTCAATGGAGAATTTATATATCTATCTATACATATAGATACATATAGACCTAGATACAGATATATATCTAGATAAATATACATACATACATATAGATAGATATCAATTAGTCTCTTGTGAGTCAAATTAAGGAGAGCTCAATTTACACCATACAATAGCTTATACTCTCTAAAAGTGTAGGCCACTTTGTTCCACTATGCATGGGCATGTGTGTGTGCACGTAGGTTATCATTTTTCTGTTTTATACCCATTGTATTTATTTGTATATAGTGGTTTAAACCAAGGTATTTAAAACCTGTGGTACTGGATTTTTGTTTTAATTAACAGCAAACGTTTATGCCTCTGTAATAAAAAATAACATTGAATCTCAATCACATTGATCAACCAACCTGTGAACACAAGTTTTTCAACTCAAAAATTACTAGTTTAATTGAATATATAACTTTGCTTTGGCAAACAAAACAAAACAAAACCAAAAAACCCACAAAACCCTATACACAGTCCTTAACTTATAATGGTTCAACTTAGAATTTTTTGATTTTATGATGGTGCAAAAGTGATACGGATCCAGTGCAACAGGGAACAATAGTCTCTCCAGATGCTGAGCAGCAGCAGAAACCTTCAGCTCCCACTCAGCCACACAATCATGGGGGCAAACAACCAATGCACTTCAATCGTACTACACCCATATGACCATTCTGTTTTTCACTTGGGGGATGGTATTCATTAAATTACATGAGACAGTCGACACATAATTAGAAAATAGTCTTGATGTTAGACAATTTTGCCCAAGTGTAGGATAATGTAAGTGTTCTGAGCACACCGAAGGCAGGCTAGGCTGTGCTCTGTTCGGCGGATTATTTCAGACTTAACGATATTTTCAACTGAAGATGAACGTCACTCCATCATAAGTCGAGGAAGACCTGTACAACTGCCAGAGTTGTTGAAAATGTAGACAAATTATGGGGCACGGTCGGGCTACCTAAATACCATCCAGCTATGTTCAAGGCAAATGACCATACAGAATGCTCTTATGAGGTAACTTAACTCGATGTAAAAAGTCTTATCTTAAATGGTGTTTTGAGTTTTGATAAACTCAACTTGGAAGAGGAGCTCAGATCCAGAGGATCTGCCCAGGCCAGCAGAGGTCATCAGTAGCTGCCTAACTGTCGTCTGCTTCTCATCCTTCAGGCTATCTCAGAATCTCTAAAAAGCATTGCCAGGAAAGTCTCTCCCACACAAAAACAGAGGTAGTTTCATAAACTGCAAAGAGGGAACCAGCAAAAAAGCTTCTGTACACAGCTTCTCTACAAGTCAACGTGCCTGCTTTTATCCAATATCGCACACAGTGCGCGCCCGACACTCTCCGCTGTAAACTGTATCTATTCTCCAACTCCAAAGAGAGTGCAGCAGGTTTTTTTTTTTTTTTTTTCC